TCCTAGCGGCGTCTTTATAAACAAAGCAAAAACCAGCGACAAAAATACAGGACCACGTTTTTCTATTACACTGAAGACCACATGCAAAAATTCAAGCCCTTTCGCGAAAATTTTTTTTTCACCCAAATCATCACTTAGCATGGTTTTGCACTCACCAGTTCAATTAGTTCTGGTTTTGGCCAATGAATAGTATGCCAGCACAGAAAAAATATTGAAGTCCCCAAAATTAACATTTTATGGCTTTTTTGAGAACTTTATTGATTTCTCTCACTATCCATGTTAGAATAATGTGTATTGGTTTTGCCTATTGCAGATATTTGCCATCAATTACAGTGTGTTTACTGAAACCAGGACCACCCAGACAATGGAAACCAATCAGATGGCACAACTGAAACAATAGATTCCAACATTTTCAAATCCAGCCAATCAAATGTCTGGTTCAAAACAATGAAATCTCGACTTGGTCATTGTGGTGCTTGTGCTACTATTACCAAGCTCAGGCCGTTAGTACTTTCGCGTTAGAAAATATTGTGTTACTGTACTTTAGATTTTACATTGACAAGCGTGATTAACTCATTAGATTGACAGTTTTCCACTGTGAACATATGCCACACAAAATATCACTTTTACGGTTGTTGTTTAAAACCCTAGAATAACAGATTTTGACATTTTTTTACATAATAAATTCCACTCCCAGCTTTCGGTTATTTACCATGCAGTTCTCGGAAAAACCATCGTGTCCACTGTCTCAGAAGCTGTACATTTTGGAGTTTGAGCTCCCTTTCTGGGTTATCGGTGTATTGAAATAACATCTAAATGGAGAATTCACACGAATTTTTTCCATGCTGTACTATCAAAGCCTCAGCGTGTAAAATCACTCAGGCAAAAACAAAAGACGATAGCGCCAAACCTCCCCCGGATGGAAAAGTCGAAGATATTGCGAACAAAGAATTCAAGTTACAAGTCCATTTTTGTATTAAGTTAACTTTTCATTTCTACTGCTTGAAGTTTGCTTTCAGCTCCTTTCAGTTACATCAAAAATAATCCCTGCCAATTCCTACATATTTTCAAACCTGTACACATGCGAAACTACTCAGAGACCATTTGAAGGGTTTCTTTTAAACAGCCACGACAATATTCAAACCCTACACCACACACTCTGGTGGTGATATATATTTATGAGTGACACTCTTAAGCGGCTTTTCTTTCCATGTATTTTCTAAACCAAACAACCCATAGAAAGTGGGGCAGTATATAATTCTTAAATCTGCAAGCACGTGAAACTACTAACGGTTTGGGCTTATTAATTGCATAAGCATCACAACGGACAAGTTAAGAGATTTCATTGTTTTGTACCAGACATTTGATTGGCTGGATTTGAAAATAGGACATTTGATTGGCTAGATTTGAAAATGTTGGAATCTATTGTTTCAGTTCTGCCATCTGATTGGTTTTCATTGTCTGGGTGGCCCTGGTTTCAGCAAACGCACTGTAAAGGCTATTCACAACACTACAAAATATGCACCTTACTTAAGATTAAGCCATGGAGAGAAATCAAATTGTCCAGTTGAAATGAATATCTGTGCCTTTAGACTGATAGTTGTACAGCATGATCCAGTGGATTTCATTTTCACATGGTTTTTCTTGTTGTAGAAATACTGAACCAAATATGGCTAATTAAATATGCATAAATTAGTGTCGAATGGCCATTTTGTCGGGGGTCCCCCTAACTTAAAGGGAATAAAATATTTTGACCTACTTTTTTGCCACAATCATTCCCTCACCAAACCCAACATTTGTGCCAAGTTTGAGCAAAATCAGTGATTTGAGCTGTATCACCTTCTGCCTGGTGCTGCCTCATTTTCTCATGGACACACTCTTAATACTAAATTAATAGGTCCTCAAGTAAACTAGACAGTACCTCTGGTGTCTGGGGAAAACCAGTGCAGTTCCACTTGAAATGTTTAACATCATCGAATGAAAGCTCTGGTAGGTTGTCCTAAAATAGATAATTGCACTTAAATTGAACCCACATTTATATCATTGGAAAAATATGAACACTAATCAAAATGACAAAGACGAATATTTTTGTCAACACACAACATTTTAAATTAACAATTTTTCAACTTTGTACCAAGTAAGACAATTTTCTCAGCTGAGAGAATCATGTTCAAAGGTATTTTTTCCTGTTCCTAGCTTATACTTTACCTTAGAATATTACTTAGGTGATTATAAACAGAGGTTATGTTGCAGTCACTGGTCAAGGATTAAGTCATATCTTACTTGAATCATCTGGTGCAAGGTGATAATTATAATGAAAATGCAAATCACTCATTTTCAAGCTATGATGTCATATGACGTCATTGCTCGATGTCAGGATGCAAAATTCCTTTGGATAAATGATGTCATGTACAATTTATCCAGAATCAAACTGAGGAGACCTGAGAACTAAGCCAGTTTCCTTGAAAACCACCATCTTGATTTTGGTAATCGAGCGACATTGTTTTGCAGCAGCTTGAGGTATCGACAATGTGTCGGTTAGATTTGAGATGGTACAAACCAGAAGGCAACTGACAGCAGCTTTTAAAGGGATTGAAAAGGTGAGTTGTCCAAAATCATTGTTTTTCTCAATCATGCAATATATTTGATACTGTAATGACCCATAATGAAAAGTTCTGATCTATGTTGTTTACATTTTATTGGGAAACAATGAATCTTCCAACTTTGAGTTTCAAAGTCATTTGCAATGAATGCCTTCATAGCAAACGACTTTTTTTTACACGCCGCTTTTGACTTACTGGCTTGTCAATGATATAGAAATATCTGAAATATATCCTGGGCCTTTGTTTTTCAAAATGCTTAAGGTCATTCCTCTTCATGAGATATTGATTGTTAATTCATACCTTCTTTTATTGTTAGCAGAACAGTGAAATGGTTAATGTGTATTGATCTTACTTCAGTTAGTTATCAGTGTATTTTCAAGTATTGGCTACATTTCAACAACAGACAGTAACAACCATGTTTGCAAGATACAGTACAATGTGAAATGTTGTACTTTAAAGCTAAATTATTTAGCTATAGGATTACAGAGTCATATTTGCCTCAGTGTAAATACACTGCCAAGTTTTGACAAAAAAGCAAAATAGCCACCTTATTCAAGTTCATATTTTTCACAATCAAATGAAGCGATTTTGTTCCACTTTTCAGCAAATGTGGTTCATGTGCATAAAAATAGCATGCGCTCCAAATGTGCTTCCCATAGGCCCGGCAAACATATACTAGAGTGACTCAATTAGATTTGTTTCATGTTACCAGTCAAAAACTTCAGCCAAGATTTTTTGATAGAATTTGCTTAAACTCGCTACTCATCAGGCACACTATCTAAACTACAAGTACAGTAGACAGTTTAGAAAGAAAACCTCTAGATGTCAAGAAAATTGACCATGAGTAAAAACAGCATTAACGTCATTGCGTTGCTATGGTAACTCCCATCTCAATAAAATACACCACACCCGAAACTTTGGTCTATCCCTAACAAGAGTGTGGATATCAATCTCCTGTATTATGCTTTAGTGCACTGTGATTTATATTTAAAGTTGGAAGGTATCACCATTGAAAAATCCAATCAAGCCACCTTAATGCTATGGATACCTGACTGGATACTAAGATAATATACCCAGTCCGTTTTATGAAGCTCGCATAGGTGTACAAGTTTTCGCAGAGCACCACACCTCTACGCTTTTACCACCCATCACTTGGGTACTTCTTCTCTTGTGTGTGTATATAAAACGGTGGCATGTTACCATGGTTACCAATAGTTTTTGGTCCATTGTAAAAGTTTTTATTCAACCCTACGCCTGAACTCATTCATTAACAATCATTTCTACATAATGAACTGTATGGCTCTACGACCACACATATTAAGATAATGAACTGTGTGGCTCTGTGACTCTATGATCACACATAACTTATCTAGATAATGAATATACGGTCGTACTAATGTTCTAAAGGAAAGTAAAATATACAGTCAAACTAACATTCTGAAGGAAAGTAAACAAACTATACGGTCATCCTAACATACTGAATGAAAGTAAAATATACAGCCATACTAAAACACTGACTGAAATTAAATGAACGACCATAATGAATGAACACACTGAAATTTACAAAAAAAAAATTATGGCCGTACTAACATACTGAATGAAAGTAAAATACACACAGCCATACATCTACTAACACACTACATGAGAGTAAAATATATGGCCGTACTAACATACTGAATGAAAGTACAATATAAACAGCTGTATTAACGTACTGAAGGAAAGTAAAATATGTGTGCCGTACTAACACAATGAATGAAAGTAAAATATACAGCCATTCCAACATACTGAATGACGGTAAAATGTATACATGTACAGCAGTACTAACACACTAGATGAAAGTAAAATACATACGGCCCTACTAACACTGAATGAAAGTAAAATGTGCCCAAGTACATGAAACTCGACATGGTTAGTAAAAATTTTCGTTAAATTAAGTAGTAATTATCATTCATAGAAACTCTTCTTACAAATAAATATTAATTTTCATGAAAGGCTGAGGTTTCCTTTTTTTGCATAAGATCATTTTCTTTCTTGAACAATTTGTTGTTCTATAAAAAAATATGCTTACAGCATAATTGAACAATGAAAAACACTCACTTCACAGAACTCAAGGTAACCAGGCCTTTGTTGGATGGAGAGATCTGGACACAACCTTCATAAAATTACTTCCGCCATTTTGCTTATTTCAGCATTTGTTTTTTTGTTTTTTTGTTTTTTTGTTTTTGGGAGTGGCTCATTAGTGTAAACTGGTTATTATACAGAACAGATGCAGAAACCATTGGATAGCTTTATCAGAAAAAGACTGCCACCCAAAAGTTATGAAGAGGAAACAGTAGATCACAGAAACAACAACGAAGTCACAGAACAGGTACAGTTTCAAACACTACAAAAGACTACCAGAAGCGCTATGAAGAAAAGCGAAAACAAGAAGGAAGAACTTTTTGCCAGGAATGGGAAAAGGTATTTGCCTGGTTGCAGTTCGATGAGTCTACACAAACAATGTCTTCCTCACTCACAGACAAGAGCAGTTCCTTTTTCACAGGTACTCAGGCTTTCCATATCGGAAACATAAAAGCACACGCAAACAATCGTAAGGATGAGACATCCTATGCCGCCAACAGCAAAGGGCCCAACAGGAAAAAGACCATTTCAGAGACATTGTAGAAGCTTTGAGGCAAATGTCACCTGAATCTGAGGAGAAAATGAAAAAGCTTTTCAACATCTCTTAATAATTTGAACCATCCCTACATTAGTTTGTCCTATTTATTAGCACAATTTTCTAATATATTTAAAATTTGTGAACAGATTCTTGGATAATGAACTTCATAATTTGGTTACAGTAGTAAAATTTATGTCCACTAACCTGAAGGGTTTAGTAGTCCAAAAAATTAATTTCGAGCGCTGAAGGCTATTGACAAAGTGGATATACCCTGCCCGTTTTATGAAGCTCAATTAGGCGTAGAAATTTTTGTTGAGCTCTACGACTCTACGATAGTATTTTGAATGTTTAAGCTCCATTTCTCTCGGATATGCGCACACCATAGAGGTGTAGTGGCGTATAGTTATTGTAGCAAATATTATATCGCTTAGGAAATGTTGAGTATTATTACGGATTGCATTGTTTTAATAATTATTGTCAATTTACAATTCTGTATTGAGTTTACCCTGACTACGCTCTACGCTCTACGCTATATGGTATAAAATATAGGTATAAAACTCGGCAAAGCAACATGCCAATAACAGCTGAAATCATGCAGACCTAGACCTATGACCTACCGGTAATGACCAAAGTCTAATGGCTGAACTCTAGTTAAAATTCCTCCTTATGACACAACACAAAGTGCCCTTCATAAACACAAGTGAACCAACAAAAAAGGTCAAGAGACTGAACACAGAACAGCAAATGTACAAATTTCATGTATCATAGGAGTCGTCACAGTAGTGTTGTCAACCCCATTTTATATGTTCGTACACTGTAGATTGGGCATTGTAAACTCCAGGCACCACTAACATGGACAACTAAGTGAACAGGATGGAATGGTCCAATTTGATGATCATACAACAAAGGGACATGAGCAGAAAACTGAGAACTGTAGCTGGCTCTGAGTCTTCGAGTGGACAATGCTTGAAAGTGAGATATAAAATGTTGACACTAAACCAGCAGCTGAAAGTTCCTTGTGCCAACTTTCCAGTAAATGCAAGTCTTCAGATTTTTCGGCTTTACTCTGCTGCTTCTCCTGGAGTTTTCTTCGAAGGACATCCTTCAAATAAACTTGTCATTTCATGATCTTCTTTTTCACCATCAAAACCGCTCGTGCTATCAACGTCGCTCTCACCTAGATCTTTATGACCAAAATCTAAAGATTTCCTTGCTTTTGTCAGGCCTTGGCCTCCTGTTAGGTCCAAATTCCCTACAGAATGCCTCATTTTACAAGAAGTCACATAGCAACAACGAAAAACCACCAAACAAAGCACAAAAATCCACAACGCTAACAAACCAGACTAAGAAAATACAAGGCGGTTCAATATGTATGAATGCCAACTTTAAGTTGTCTATTACTTTTATTAACTTCCAGTTAGCTGATACATGTACCCAGATTCCCTTGGTGGTAAGATAGGAAAAGAGATAAAAATAGAAAGGAAAATGGGAAAAGGAATAGAGATCAGCCTTCCCCTTTGGCCGCCATTTTTTTAGGGTGTTTTTTGGGACGTCAGCGAAAACATGATTGTTTTCACGGGAAATGAAAGACCTCCCGCAGATATCACAGTTCTAAAAATAAAAAGATACGGGACAGGGTTGACTCAAGGGTAGAATTAGTATGGAGGCTCCAGGTAATGGGCTCCTGACAACCCTTGTTTCAATTCAAAACTTTCCTTAGTACATTAGTACGACCCTTGCTTCTATTCAAAACTTTGCATGGCAAGTAAGTACATTGGTACAACCCTTGTTTCAATTCAAAACTTTCCCCTGTAAGTTGGTACAACAGTACGACCCTTGTTTCAATTCAAAACTTTCTTTAGAACGTTAGTACGACCCTTGTTTCTATTCAAATTTTTTCTTAGTACATTATAGTATGACCCTTGTTTTTATTCAAAACTTTCTTCAGTAAGTTAGAACTTTAGTATGACGCTTGTTTCTATTCTAAACTTTTTATTGCATTAATAACTGGGAGCAACAGAAACAAAAATTAGGTTTTGTTTACATTTTTCAGCAAATGCGTCAAGTAATTACTACAGTTTGAAGAAGTACAAGAGAAGAAATCGAGATAAACAATTCCTTTTGAGCTGTATCTTGAGTTTATTGTCTCAAAATGTGTGATCGTAGTGCCATAGAGCCGTAGTGTTTTAGATGTGTGATCGTAGAGCCATAGAATTTTATATTATCTAAAAATGTGTGATCGTAGAGCCAAAGAGTTTTATATTATCTAGAAATGTGTGATCATAGCGCTGTAGAGCTGTAGAGTTCATTATCTAGAGGTGTGTGATCATAGAGCCATAGAAATGATTGTCAACGAACGAGTTCAGGCGTAGGATTGAATAAAAACTTCTACAATAGACCAACAACCATGGTGACATGCCACAGTTTTACATGTACATGCAAGAGGAGAAGTACAAAGTGATCAGTGATAAATGCGTAGAAGCGTAGCGCTCTATGAAAACTTAGAACTACTAGTCAACAGCCAATATGAGGTTCATAAAACAGATGCAAGTTGTAAGATAAGCACAAGCTGATGGGCCACTTGACTCTAACACACACTTCACCTACACTGTACCACCAATTTCAATTGCCACAATTAATTAAATTACCATTGGTGAAGGCAACTTTTCAGTACAACTCCAGTTACTTATTTCTTTCTTGTACTGTTTGATTGAAATTTTTCCTCCATTGTTCTGTCAAAAAATAAAAACCTTGATTACATAAATTATTATACTGAAAGTAAAGGGTGAATTAAAATTCCAGTTATAGGCCCTAGGCTTACATCAATTTATCCAGGGAATTGGATTGGTTTATATCTTAATATATTGCAGTGGGATTTATAAGCAGCATAAACATGTGTTTGGAAAAATACCACCAGAAAACCCATAATGTGTTGAAATGTGTAATTTGCATTCACAGTTTTTGAGTCTTCAGTTGTGCTAAGTGTCATTTTGGAATTTCAGCAAAGTGCCAAATTGGTTTTAAATATTAACATTGTCTTGTTAACCAACTGCCTCCCTATGAGGAGGCTGGGTGCCTACGTCACCAAGGGGCTTCCATTGTGGCCAGATAGCCCATAGATAGAACACTGCTAGAATTGGAATACTGGATTCCAGTTTCCAAAATTCTGCATTTTAGGGTTGCCTACTCAGGTCTTGGTTTTTGAGACACCCTACCAAAACGGTATGATTTGGTATTTACTGTACCCAAATTCAGCCAAGTGAGCATGGTATCGTAGCCATATCAGGTCAGTGACTTGATATCACAGGATATCAGGACAGTAGACACACCTCTTGATTTGTTAATTGCAAATTCCTAGTAATACTGCATAACACAGACAGACTGGAAATTACTAGCAGTGAGTTTGAAGCCAATCAAATTTGACGTGTTTCATCAATACTGCACAATATATAAGTCTTAAGCTTAATATTGTTGGCCCCAACCCTCCTGAATGAATGAATGAGTGGATGAATTACTTTCTTACCGTGTCAAACATTCTAGTTTACTGTAAACAGTAAGCTGATTGTTAACACCAATGTATACATATAGGTAATCATATGGTTTCAAGTTCAATTTGGAATTAATTTGCGCGAGTGAGTTTTTCAAAAAGCTGAAATTGCACAAGCCGCTTCGGCGAGTGCAATTTCAGCTTTTTGAAAAATTCACAAGTGCAAATTAATTCCAAACTGACCGAGAAAAACTGTTTCAACCTTTCCACACAAAATTTTCATCATCATTTTGCATATCACTGGCTTCGAAAATTTCCTATAGTCTTTCAGCCAATCATAATCCAGAATTACGATGTGTAATTTGCACTGGTGATAAACTTTTTACACCAGTGTTACACTTTTTGCATTGGTGTTACACTTGAACTGCACTGCTTTCAGCCAATCAGAATCGAGTAATTTTTTCGTGTATATCATTATACAATCATGTAATACTAGTAGTAATCAAAGATTAGAGCAGTGCGTTCACGTGAGTACTTTGAATGTTTGGTCTACTTTGGTGGCCTTCGAATGGCTCAAGAGAAAACTAAGTTTGATCGCATGTCAGATAACAATCTGCATGATTGTGAAGTTGAACTGGCCAAAAATAGATGATAGCCTGCAGTAAAAGTGTTTTTAATCAATTAGGTACTAACTTGTACTGGAGAAAATATTTTCCAGGAAAGGTATTTGAACTGTTTCAGATCGCCAACACTTGTAACAAATATTTCTTGAGACAATAAAGTTTTGACCAGCAACCCTGCAAGACAGCACGTTGCCAAATGTTTTTAAGTTTTGTGTTTGTATTTGTTTACATAGCTCAAATTTACATCTTGTTCAGTTCACAAATGAAAAAAAGGTGAACTAACCTTTCTGACAACAAAACACAGCCTTTTGGTGAGTCACATAACACAGAAAGTTTGCTTTCTGACAACCAATTATGGGCACAACAAATTTGCTGAACTACAAATCAGAAAATATATTCCTGACCACAGATCTGAGGGTCATCATGGCGATTTGCCGAGCTACACAGAAGATTTGCTTTCTTACCACAAGTCAGGGCCATTTGCCATCGCTAAACTACAAAATATTCTTTCCTGATGATGCAGCCTTTAGCTACTTGTTGTCGAAGGCGAGAGGGTCAAAATACATGCAGCTTCGTAGATCATATGTACACTTTTTTCAATTCTATACAGCGAATACATGACTGCATGCATGCACTCATGATGAAATTTGGCCCTCCTGTGTGTGTGGGGGCAAATCAGTGAACAAATCCATCCCAAAAATTCTCAATATAGACTGGATTAGGATTGCATTACACTATGTGAACGCAAAAATAGGTCTGCAATGTGTACTTGTGGACTTATGCTTAGTTTGATTCCATTTGGTTGTAGTGTTGTTTTTAAAATAAATGTCAGTATCTGGGAGTTGAATTGCTGCAAGTGAGAAGGAAATCACTGGAAAGATAAAGGTGTAGAAATAAGTGACTTAGGAAACATAGTTTTTAGTGTAGAGCACACTATTGGGATGGTTTAGGGGGGTTGCTGTTTGCTAAGGCACTAACGCAACAAGGCACAATACACTAACACAATAAGGTGTTAACTTAAATGTTTGTTTAATTAATTAACCCATTGACACCTGAATGAAATTGCCCGCAACCCACCCCTAATTCCCTGGCATTTTTTGGAATATTTCTGAGCGAGTGAAAGCACAAAAATAAACCATATGCGCAGTAACCACAGACACAAGATCAGGTTTCATGACATCGTTTATTCAAAGTTGAATGAATGAAGGGTCAAAATATTAAAAAACATTAGCAAAAAGAACTCAACCTAATGTGTTAAACTGATGAGAAAACAAGAAATTATATTCTTTCTTTACCGCGCGACAAAATGTCCACAGAAGCTGAGAAAATTGACTTTGCGAAAATGAGTTAATTATTGACTTTGGAGGACAAAAAACGAAACCAAATTCAACAGAATTTTATTCTTGTACTATAACGGCTAACATTTGAGAAAACAACAAAAAATAAAAGCGAAGAACTCATGTAAAAATCAATCTGAAAACAAGAAATCAAGTAATTTCTTCGCCGCGCGACAAAATATTACGGCGCTGCAAAAGAAAGATGAAAGACGACAAAAACAAGCCAATTATTTTGAGATCAGTCGTATTTCAACTGTGTTAAATTAGTGGCCATTTAGTTCTTTTCTCAGCGGTTCTGTAGCAGCTGAATAAGACTCCAAAAAATATTTGAATGAAGCAAATAAACTAAATAAACAAAGTGCCTGGAGGTCGCCATAAATTAAATATGCGGAGCAACTTCAGAATACCCGGCCACTTTATTTACATGTGTCGGTGGGCTTTGAAGAACGAGGTATATAACAATAGTTGCTATTCTTATTCACTGAGATGCTAATAAGTGGCCGGGTATTCAATCCAGCGTGCAAGTTACTGTTCGCTTTTAAAACCTAAAATTCCCAAATACAGGGAACCAAATAAAAGAAATGCGAAGGGAAGTTCAATAACAATAAATTTTCATCCAAGATGAGACGAAGAAACCTATTTCAAAGCAAAAAATTGCTCAAAATTTCGCAGATGTGCTTCGCTGCATGACCGCATGTTCAAATTAATTCTTCACGCTAACATGGAAGCTTGAGTTTTTGTCGACCGCTTTTGCAGTCATTTTAACGCCCGTGGCTTTATCAATCGTTCCAAAAGTTTAATTCAACTTCGAAGTAATAATGTACATTACCATTTTTGTTTCTGAAGTCCGCAAAGCCGCTTTAAACCTGCGATCTGTCGTCGAAACTTACTTGAAAGCACTCCCATCTTCACGTTTTCTCGGCGGTTGTAGGAAGAAAAACTTCTTCACCAGAACGTTTTGAGGACTCTGTACTCCTTGATCCTCCATTCTGAGGTCACCTGAACATTGATTTGTATTTTTCCTTTCTATTTTAAAGCCCAGAGCAGTAATTTATCCGTGTTAGGAATGAAAACAAGACCTAGGAAGTTTTTTAGATTTGGCCCACAACGCGCCATGATTGCCTGCACTTTTCGAGCGCGCGATTTTAAGAAGAAAAACCGTCTTTCTAGGACCCCTAAAGTCCTCTGAAAATATGCTCAGGAAGTCCATTCTGATTGGTTTATTTGTCCTCAGGAAAAATAGAACAATAGGAGAACCAAAAAATCTTCAGCGAGGGTAGGAAAGGCAATTGTCCCCACGTGCTTTTTTTCGGGCGGTTACAGGCGGCACAGGGAAATGGAGGAGTTTTTCGCACGGGCGGTTACGGGCGGCACAGGCGTCTTTATTCCGCTCTTAGTCCCAACGGGATATAACGCAACAACAATCTCTCCTCACTTAACCCTATTTTGTGCAGCATGTTGTGCCTTGTCCCATGTGACTTTTAACTCTCTGAGCTCGCCACTGTTTCCACTTGCCAAGTGAACTTATACATAAATGATGTGGTGTTAAGATGGTTTGCTTCAATAATGACTATTAGCCTGTTACATAACAACATCAACAACTGAGTCCAACATACACCTTGTAATTGTGTTGAAGTGTGTTGAGGTTCTAATAAGTTCTTGCCATGACTTTAAAAAAAAAATAGTGACATGCTAAATACCCAAAGTCAATTTGCATGTACAAAATGTGGTTTCTGCTGATGATTGCCCAGCATTAAGATGGTACCAAATGAGGTAAAATGTTACTGTAAGTGCAGTAAAAAGTAAACAACATTGCTGATGTACACTTTGTATACTTCCTATTGTTGACTGTTGTAAGGTTACCAGTGTGCACTGTAAAATGTAGACAGTAGTAATCAGTGATGACAGCTGTGTGTTCCAACTGCTGCGGAGCACACTACAAATCCCGTAAGGCTTGCTGTTTCATGTCTGGAGAGCAGGTAAGCTACTACACATTGGCTATTCATAGCTTAGTGATCAGAGGATTTTTCGATGCGCCCCACAGGTGCCCTGATATCTATAATGACGGACAACATGAATAAAAGGTACTTTTGTTGGTTTTCCTGTCTTTTCTTCAATGGGTGGCCATTTTGAATCGTTTAGGCGTGGTTGATTTCCAAGAGGCTTTGGACCTAGTTATAAATATAGCAGTTTATCCGAGTTTTGCGATCACCCGTTGAGAACGATTTCTGGATGGCAACTTGGTCCCAGTCCTAACTAAAATTCAACTGCGCTTAAATAATGAC